AAAGGATGGAGCTCGACATACAGCTCACACCCCTCCATACCTCACTATTTGGTTTCGACGGGTCAGAGGTCGCGCCCCTAGGAGAAACCATGCTAGCTGTCGTCCTAGGGGAGGGAGACTTGCGAAAGGTAAAAATGGTGAGATTCGAGGTGGTCGATGTCGAGTCAGCTTACAATGTGATCTTGGGAAGGCCAGCACTTAATGCACTCCAGGCAGTAGTATCAACCTACCATATGAACCTAAAGTTCCCAGTCGGAGACCACGTTGGAGAGGCCCGAGGCGTTCAAAAGCTGTCGAGGACTTGTTACCAAATCGCTGTAAAAACCAACCAACGGGCCGAAGTCAAGGAGGGAAAAAAGCCAATGATAAGTGAGAAGAGGCCAAGGAATAGTGATCTCGAACCACACGGGGAGTTAATGGAAATACAAATCGGAGAAACAAAGGAACAGACCACTAAGGTCGGGAAGGATCTGAAAGATGAACTACGAAATCGACTCATCACACTATTAAAAGAATTCAGGGATGTTTTTGCCTTCGCCCCCGAAGAGTTGACAGGTATCGACCCCACTATCATGGAACATAAACTCAACGTCGACCCCCTCAAAAAGCCAGTAAAACAACGACTCAGACGCCACGGTGAAGAAATCGACAAAGCAATTGAAGTCGAGGTGGACAAGTTGCTGCAGGCGGGGCACGTCAAAAAAATCTAATTTCTCGAGTGGATATCCAACACCGTGATGGTAAGAAAGGCACTAAACAAATGGCGCATGTGCATCGACTTTCGTGACTTAAACTTGGCCTGCCCAAAAGATCATTATCCCTTACCACAAATTGATCAACTCGTCGACTCCACGGCTGGTTGCGAATTATTAAGTATGATGGATGCATCTCAAGGATACCACCAGATTCCGTTATGCCCAGAAGATCAAAGTAAGGTGAGTTTCGTAATGAGTAAAGGGACGTACTGCTATGTCGTCATGCCCTTTGGGCTTAAGAATGCTGGAGCAACCTACCAACGGCTGATGGACCGAATGTTCAAATCTCAGATTGGCCGAAATATCGAGGTATATGTGGACGATATCTTGGTGAAAAGTAAGGCCTCAACCTCACACCCAGACGATTTAAGGGAAACATTTCAAACCCTTAGGGCGTTCAGGATGAAGCTAAACCCAAGTAAGTGTGCCTTTGGAGTAAAGGCAGGACGATTCCTGGGGTATATCGTCATAGAGCGAGGAATCGAGGTAAACTGGGAGAAGGTGAAAGCCATACTCGACATGGCCCCACCAAGAAATATAAGAGATGTGCAAGTTTTGACGGGACGAATTGCGGGACTAAGCAGGTTCATCGCTAGAGCTGCAGAGAAAAGCTTCCCATTCTTCAAATTGTTAAAGAAAAAGTCGACCTTCTCATGGAGTGACGAAGCACAAATGGCCTTCGAAAAATTAAAAGAATTCTTGGGCGAGCTACCCTTGTTGACAAAACCAGAGCCCGACGACGAGTTGGTGCTTTATATATATGTGGGTTCGGTATCACTAAGTTCAGTGTTATTGCAAGAAGAAGGAGGTGTCCAACAGCCAATTTACTACACCAGTCGAGTTCTTCAAGGTGCAGAGACGAGATATTCTGAAATCGAGAAAGCCGCCTTGACACTGGTGATAAC